GTGACGTTGTCTGCTCTTGTCCACATATGCAATTTATATCTTGATTTCCATATCCTCATTTTCTCATATTTTCTTTTGTCCGTCCTACACCAACACGCAGTCTGTTCAGTGTCTTCCATACTGGCCATTCTAGGTTGTTACCAGGAGGTAGTCTTTTTGATGGTTCCATCCATCTTTTGCCGTTGGTGTCCATTATCAGTTTTTTCCACTCACATATCCTGTTTAGTAAGGGTGTTTCCGTTAGCTCTTCAGTTACCTTTAGGAAAGACTTTTTTGATTTCAGACGGGAAGTGGGATCATTTTGGCCATACATAGGGTGCCTTATATCTCTTTTTTGTTTACCGCGTTCAATTCTAGAGGATATCAGGCGTCGAACTGATGGTGATGGGATACCTGCTAGTAGGTAAACTTTGTCTATTGGTGTGTTTCTAAGGCATCCTATGATTATTCGGCATGTTGTATTTAAGGCAGTATCTACTTTCATCGCTTGAGTAGAGTTTCTCCAGACCGGGCATGCATACTCCTTTATTGAGTAGCATAGGGCCATCGCTGAGACCCGTAACGCATGTGGTTGTGCACCCCATGCTGATCCTGTTAGTTTCTATATCAAACCGTTCCGGGTATTAATTTTTTTACTGGTTTTTTCGCAGTGGGTTGTCACGCCTAGATATGTGGGTGAACTACAGTGAGTTAGTTCTACATCTTCCCATTTCACTATCAGTTTTCTGTTAGCCTGCTTGTTTCTCAAGTGGAAAGCACAGACACTGGTTTTACTAGGATTTGGCTTCAGATAATTTGACCTATAGTAGTTTCCTATACGGTCCAATGTTGTAGAGAGTTTTGCTTCCACTGCTTCAAAACTATCTTCTTGTACAGCAATTGCTAAATCATCAACATATACATAGTGTTTGATGTTGTTATCCTTAGCTATGGGTTGATCATTGGTATAGATATTAGAAAGCGTGGGAGCCAAAACGCTTCCCTGTGGCAACCCATTTCTTATGTTTCTCCATCTGCTGTTTTTCCCGGCTAATGATACATAGAATCTTCGGTTGCTCATTAATGTTTGAGTGATTTGCGTAAATTTGTAGTCTCTGGTTGTCTGATATACATTAGAAAACAATAAACCATGGTTAAACGTGTCGTACGCGGATGAAAGATCAATAAAGGATATCCCAGTAACTTTCTTCTCTTCAAACCCATTTTCGATATATTGTGTTAGGTTCAATACCTGCCCTGTACATGATTTCCCCGGGCGGAAACCTGCCTGTTCCTTTATGAGTTGGTCATCAATGGCGGGGCATAGTCTGTTTAGGAGAATTCTTTCAAATAATTTGTATGTGCGACATAATAGGGAGACTGGCCAGTAGCTAGATGGAGTATCAGGTTCCTTTTCTGGCTTCAGCAGAGCTATTACTTTCACCTTCCTCCAGATTTTCGGGATCTTTTAGGTAACTCTGATATTATTAAAAAGATTAAACAGCCATAGTCTTATGGTTCTTCCGAAGTGTTTTATCTGTTCTGAGAACATGTTATCTAGCCCTGCCGCTTTCCCATTCTTAAATGTCTCTATAGCATCTCCAAGTTCCGTAAATAGGATGGGGTTTCCAAGTTAATGCGTTTCATTGTTTTTCGTTCGTATGATCTTCGGTTTACAATGTCTGGGTTTTGTCATTTTATTTTTGCCGTTCAATAGAAGATGGTTTGCAATTTGGTTTGGTGTTATTGATGGTACCTTTGGTTTTTCTTTGGGGTTATTGTCTAAGCGCTTAATGAGGTTCCATGCTTTTTTACTACTCCTTTTCATATCTACTTCTGCTAGTAGGTCACACCAGCGTTTTCTTTTCACCTCAGTTAGTAAATGCATTAGTTCTTCTATCTTTTCTATCGTATCCTCATCGAATGGGGGGTCGGCCTCATATTTATCGGTATATTTTTCTAATGATTCTACTAATTCAGGTGTTAACCCTGGAATGTGCTTTATTAGGCAGCCTCTTGGTATATTTTTTCTGGAGATGGTTTTTACTAACTTTGTAAAAACTTCATAGATCTCGTTTACTGGTTCTAGTGCGGTTACCGCATCATCTAGAATTTTAGTAAAGATGTTCCAGTCTGCTTTTCGAAAGTTCTCCTCTAAAATGGAGTGTCACATGGTTTGATCACTGCCGAAACTTTGCACAATATGGGTCGATGCTGCGTATGTGGTATGGGTCTTCCGATTTTCTTTATACATTGGGGAGCTATCATATCGCTTACAAATATTATGTCGGGATTATAGCCCTTTTTCCATCTACCACTGTTGAATGATGATGGCAGTTTTGGGTCATGGATTAATGTTAACCTGTTAGACTCTGCCCATACTTCAACTAGATCGCCATTACTATCTGTTTCGTCGTAGCCCCAGTTGGTATGGTGGCTATTAAAATCTCCTATGATTATATGTATGTTTTGAGTGTCAAAATTAGCTGGTTTCTCGAATGCAAAAGTTGAATTAGGAGGTTTGTAGATAGAGGTCACAGTGCGTTTCCCAACTTCTATAGTGAGAATCTCGATGTCATCTATCTCTGTTATTTGACTTGACGTTACATCGATTGAGGTACGAACAAATATAGTACTTCCATACTTCCTGTGTGGGCGTATAGCAACGAGCTTCATCCCATTGATTCTTGGAATATTCATAACTTCACTTCTGGGTGTTTCCTACACACATAACACGTCACATGAGTTTTCTTTACATAAGTCAGTAAGCAGTTCTTCCTTATTTGAATTTATGCCCTCAATGTTACATGAGGCGATCGTCAGTGCTGGCCCTGAGAAGGGCCGTTTTGTATCTTGTTTTGTAGAGATCATATGCGCCTGGATTTGGAAAAATTAGTCGTTATAGAACGTTGCCTGGGGTACAGTACGTAGAGGTTTTTTCCTTGTACCTATTTACTTTGACTTAACCACCAGGTGGTTGATGCAATATCCTAATCTCCCGAAAAAAATTATATTGCACGTGTGCTTTCTTAGATATTTCTCAGGCGGTTGACCGTGTTTGGCATCAAGGTCTCTTATTTAAACTGAAATCCTCCTACCTACATCCTACTTCCTACTTTTCAAATCTTAACTCAGTGATTGCTCTTTATAATTTGCTATGGAACTGCCACGTTCGAAATAGCAAATATAAATGCTTGAGTTCCTTAAGGTGGTATATTATCTCCATTGCTATACAATATTTTTATTTCTGACCAACCCACATCACCAAACACCTCAGTCGCGGACTATGCGGATGATAAAGTGATTATATCGATTAATTATGACCCATCCTTGGCCTCCTTATATTTGCAAACCCATATAGGCCTCATGGAACGATGGTATACTAGATGGAAATTTAAAGTAAATCAAAAAAAATCAATACATACTACTTTTACTCTTAAACAAGCACCTTACCCAAATGTACTTCTTTATAGCATCTCTATCCCTTCATCACCCACAGTAAAATACCTTAGTCTAACACTTGACCAACGCTTAACCTGGGCTCAACATCTTCGTGAAAAAAGACTTCCCTTTATCAACCAACTACGTATGCTTAAGCATTTAATTGGTAACAAAGCCACCCCTATTAATATCAAACTCCTTATGTACAAAACCTTATTAAAACCCATATAAACATACGGATTGCAGCTATGGAGAACTGCTAAAAAATCTAATCTGAATAAGATACAAGTTTTCCAAAATATGACCTTAAAGAAATTAGTTAACGCTATTCCATACGTGTCAAACTGTACACTTCTTACATATTGTAACTTAAAAATTATTCATGATGAAGCTAAACTTTTTTATAAAAAATTTCATAACTGTCTATGTTCCCACTCAAATTCTCTCATCAAGAACTTATCATCCTCACAATCCCAGGTAGTCCCCCAAGGCGACTCTAACGCAAATGATGCAAAGATTTATTACTTAAAAAAAAAAAAAAATAAACGTAATTAAATCTGACAAGATTTAACCAAATTTGAAAGTGTTATCAGTGAGTAGCTACTTTCCCCAAATTATGTAATTCCATGTTATTGTTCCCCATAGCACATGTACTTATTATGATATAGATTGTATATTTTCTTCTAAAAAAAAATTTAAAAAAAATAAATATTTTATTTCACATAAAATAGTAATCGATAAGATAAGATCAGATAAGATGATAAAAGAAAATCTTCTTCGGAGCTATCGAGGGGATTATTTTTAAGCATCACATTTTCAATTGGAAAACAAATAAAATACAATGTATTATACGATCACATTTCCACATATATACGAGTATATAAATTGTATTAATTGTCGGGGGATTGGTATTCTTATTTGACGTATTGTATTGTTGAACGGACACGTACTTTCTCCTTCCGAGTTACAACGACACCAAAGGGTACGATTTTGATACAAAAAAATAAATGATAAAGTCAAAAATGTTCTTAGTCGGTGTGCGGACGGCAGTATTATCCGGAACGCTGAACGGAAGCGATCGAAGCCCGTGTAAACCGATTGCTAACCTATTGTTAGAAGTGTTCCGTCCGTTCCGTCCATTCGGCCGACGGAATCCAGCCCCGAAGAAAGACCACTGCGTCAACGACTTATCAGGCTTAAGTCCGATGATCCCATCGGAAAGTGTAGGTATACGTTGTATAGCACAGTATAGCACCGTTGAATGGATTTGAATCTCACCGACCGTTGGCTTGCTCGGAGTCACTGTGTAGTGGTACTAATGAATGACAGTTAAGTTTCGTATCATTCGCGTTGTACTCGTACGTACCTCTACCGGGTGGCGAAAACGATTTCTCATGGGTAATATCACGTGATGACAATTATCAATAGGTGTAGATGTGTTCGCAAAAACGTGGTAACCAAAAAAAAAAAATAAAAAAAACAATATCCTCCAGTCATCTACCATTTCCAAATCCCTATCCCCTCCCATATGTAAATCCTGAATGTGACGAAATCTATTGATCTTACGGTACTGTTGTTACCTGTGCTGAATGATGATTTAACGGCTCGGGCAAGCACAGTGTCAGCACAAACGGTGAATTCACTCTGTTCACGATGCCATCAAATGAAATCCTCACATTCTTCGGTCTTCTAATTTTGAAATAAGTGTGTACCGAACGGCCTGTAAACATTTAAGTTAACAAATTACTATGCATCTGAAAATCACAAGAATAAAACAGAAACGAGAAATATTTTAATTATTTGTTTGGCATAAAAATGACGGCTTGATGATTATAATTATTTTAATATAATGCGATTGAAAATTAAATTAAATTTATTATCAGAAATATGTAAAATAACTTACTCCTATTTGAAAATGTATTTACATATGTGGAACTTTTTTTTTTTAACGTAAATATTTCAAAAGTTTTTTGTTTCAATTTAGTAAAAATTAAGTGTTATATCTAATTTATGACATTTTTAATAAAGATAATGAGCGTCAAAAGTTTACACAATCATAAAGAAACACTAGAAGATTTCCGATAATGTGTTAATTGATTTAGTTGTCTTTACCTAAGGCCATTACTAAACGGTAAAAATTAAGGCAAACTTAAAAGCTTTTCAGAATTAATCAACGGATATTTTAAAACATGTTTCCTATAGATCAGTATTATTTCCTAATACTTAAAAATGAATACATACTTCTTATATTTTAAATGTAATGTAGTCTTGTATTGATAAATTCTCACTAAAATCCAAAAAAAAGATTTTCGGATGCACTATTTTTAATAAATCTACTAGTATATAAATTCAAATCATATTGAATTTATATTATCGTTTTTTGTCACTATTTTTGTAATAGTATAATTTTCAAATAATGAATATGGAAATGTTAGGGTGTGTAAGTATTTACTTTAAACTAAAAAAAAAAAAAAAATTGATTTAAAACTTAATATTATTTATTTTATAATACAAAAACTTGAAAAACATCAATAAGTAAATAATACCTTTATTCTTATAATACGTTTAATACGTTAACTACGTATAGTTTAAAGTTTTAAATATCTTTGTCATAATTTTATTTGTAAATTATAAATATTCATTGTTTTATTATCATTATATATTTATTGACACATCAATTACAATACGTTTTTTTATGTGCTTTCCTTAAATGAATTTATAAAATAATAATAAAGATAACCATTCAAAACTTTCAAATCACTTATTAAAACTCGAAAAATATACATACATTATACTACCATAGAGTACAAATTAAGATTTTTCATGATAAAAAGTAATATTATATTTTGATACATTATTAATTCGTATGTATTGGTGTGTGTTAGTACCATTTCATTACATTAATTTAATCTATACAAAATTGCATTTCAGCTAATTTGAATTACTTAGTTGTGTAATCTACTTCGATTGTTATGTTTAACTACCCAAGTTAAATATTTTTATAAGTTATGTTACTGCATTATAATATAACATAGTTTTATAATAGCTACCCATTATTTGTAAGATAATTACGAGGAGCATAAGAGTCATCAAGCGTGTTTTTTGGGAATTGTAATTTCTAATTATGTGAATACATAAATTATCTGATGTTAAATTGGTAATATTTTATGAATATTTATGCTTGACTCAAATTCCGGTACACAGATACTCAAACTAGTAATATATTATATATATTGAAATGTGCATAGTAATTTTGTATTACCAATCCCTTTTCGAGATTCTTATTAACAAATGGTGAATAATTTATATTGCTTTTGTAGATTTAAAACGACACAATTAATGTTTTTCACGTAAAAATACATTGAACGTTGAACGATATTATTCCATGGAATCGTTAATTTCACAGTATTTTATTAAAAATAATACCATGTTACAGGTGTATACGATTGTTATTCCATTACATGCTAATACCTAAGTCCGAGTAAATTGCGTGGCTTACATTTTTCCTATATATATATATCCATATACATACATATAAATTGGATCCCACGCGATGGAATAAAGAAAACCTAACAACGTCACGTAACATTTCATCGTGTTTTTACGTGGACTCGGAATAAACTTGTAACATAACACAATCAGGGACAGAATGGCAGGGCGGTGGTCGTATCCACCCAGGCCCTCCAGAAGAGTTATGCTTAAACCTCAAGTTGTATGGCAAACAAACTAATACCTACCATGGCCTTCAGGGCCCCAGTTCGATGTTCATACGAGTATATAAGTTAAAGATTTGCGTCGCATGGACTGTACTTCCGTTACCGAACGATAAGTGGCCACTGCGAATTTATTATGAGGATTCCGTGTTTAAATGAAATGCACACCGAAACGATGTCACAATACCGTGGTCGACGTTTTGCAGATAAATTCTCTAGCGTCACCAATTTGATACAGTACAGATCGTCTGTTTTAAATTTTAACAACGATACGCAAATCACGATTTGAATCCACGATGTTCATTTTCGTCATAAAATCTCCGCACTGCATAAGCAGCATGGAAAACCAGAGATCATCCTTTTGGACATGAAATATTCGTCATAACTGTAATCAAACCTAAACCCTAATGACGTATAACGGTTAAGCGAATAAGAGGTGTAACGTTAATTTGAACGATGTTTTGCTTATTATAAATATATTATGTACATATACGAGTTACTTGAACAGAGTCCGTGGAAACGTTTATACAATTACTTTAACAACGTGTACATTAATGTAGGTACGTTAATGATAAAATACCAACTGTATATTGTATAATACTTTATTATTAGTTTATAATTATATAAGTTTAATTTCATATCGATTATCTGATACTTTTATTTCCTTTCGAGTGAGAATAGTATACAATATTGATTCGTAATATCATGTCACCAGATCCAAAATGATTTGCGTCGTCCAAAGTAAGAATACTAGCTTATAAAATATAATATGATGTGTGTAAAATGCATGGACAAAAATCAACAATAAGGTTGTAATAACTTTACTTACTTCAGTACCAAATTATTATTAATAGGACATATTTTATAACTCACGCATATATGTATTTATACTTATAAACAAATGTACTTAAAAATGACGATTTTTAATTTAGTTTTAGTCGTGGTTTTTATAATTTTTGAGTAAAAAAACACGATTTATTTCAATATAATAATAATAAAAATATTTTTATTCTGTGTAAAATTTAGTTATTACAACGCAGTTAAAATTGAAAAAGAAATAAAAACCCGTATTAGCTAAGTATATATTTTTGAAAATAAATAATTAGTTATTTTTATGTTCCTATAAAATAGTCAGAAACTGTTTTCGGTCTCTAATTAATTGTAAATTTAAAATTATAAAAATATTTCTAAACATTCAACATGCAAGTGATATAACACAAAAAAAATGAATTTTGGTTTGTTTTTGTCATCTGTCAACAAATATTTACCGATTTCGTGCCACGAAACACATAAAAAAATATTTGGAATAACATGTCTTAAAAATTCAGCAACGTCAAAGTATGTAAAATCATGTTATAACATTGTTTACATTTTGTATTCACTTCGAAATGAAATATATATATGATTATATTCTTAGAAAAAAAGTATTTTATCCGTAGAAAAATAAATATGAAAACGTTACAGTGTTTCTTTTTTACCCAATTCGAAGTTGAGATTTATTTAAAACTCATATTGTGGTTGTATACCTATATTACATATATTATATTAATATATATACCTACACATATTATATAGGTATATATATATACCTATATTAATACCTATAAGTTATTTTATTAAAGATTCAATATACTCTCGATTATCTGTGTGTTATTGTGATTATCCGTAGTCTTCCACGGAATCATCTACATACATTTATGCAAGCCTGGGCATTAACGAGTTAATAAGTTAAAAGTTAAGTTAATTTACCTTTTAACTTAACTTATTTCATAACTGGAAAATTAACTTAACTTATTTTCTTACAGATTAATTTAAAATGAATGCATTATTTTTTCATCTATCCCAATTAGGTTCATTTTGATTTTCAAGACCAGAAAAATATTTTTGTCAAATACCGCGTATATTGTTATCGTTTATTCGATAACAAATTAATGAAATTTAGAAAAATATCAAAAATAAAATCTAAGGGTTCCGAAGAATTTTGTATTTTTATTTTTAGATAAGAACATTATATTGTTCATGGTATTAACTAATAAGTTTAATTAACCAAATAGGTCTAGGGAAAAGTTATCGACCATCTATAGATTATTACCTAAGTAAGAATAGCCATTCCGTCCATGAATTACATTGTCATGAAAAGTGGATATATATATATTACAAAAATAGGTCCATATTATTATTGGTTAATGAATAAAATTATTATTAGAATTATTCCATATTCGTTGATAATTTTCATTTTGTGTACCCCTACAACTTAGTACCTAGGACTAGCACTGCCTATACACAATACTGATCAGTGATAACTCTACTTATAATATATATCGTTTTCTAAGTGTATGTTTAGTTGTTAGTGTGTTATGTTTATGTCTGTGTAATAGTGCATAACTTTTAAGTGTTGATTGCAACATAATAGAAGTCATACAATTGAACAGGGACAATAAATATCCAAGTAAGTTCTATTAATCTCAGAAATTATTTTACTATGATGAAATAGTAAATAAATTAATTTAGGTAATATATTGTTATATTATTAATAGCTGACCAAAATGTTGAGATGACTTTCTTATTGAGATTTAACAGATATCTTGATTAACCCTATCCATTGTACTGTGTTATTTGTTTTTATTTTATTTAAGCCAATAAATATTATAAATTTATTTTAATGTTTTGTATCTACTGTATCATCTATATAATTTTTTAGTAACATTTTCAGCAGCAGTAATTCTTTTTAGTTTTCATACCATTATTGAACATTAAAAATAATACTTTTTTAATTATATTTTTCAGATGTGATTTAAATTTGATTGAAAAATGAATAATATACCATATACTTTACCGTAAATCTGACATTTGAGTGCATTAAAACAATTCCAATGAAGAACTGTGTATTTTTCTAGTCTGATTAGGATTAAATAAAAAATATTCTAAAACGAGATTTTTTATGCATTTTCATAATCTTTTTAAATCTTTTTAATTAAATAAATATAATTAAGATCTACTTTAAATG